ATCATTACCGAACCCAATTTCCCCATTTCCTACTCATACCCATCATAGTGAAAACAACTTCTTATTTATTTATTTTGGAAATTTGTGTTACGAATTCGTCGATTTACTTTCCAACATTCTTATGATTTTTTTAAAAATATTTCCCTTTGAATGGTTTTTTCTTTATAATTATCCCACAAGGAGAAAACAGATACTTATTTATGTATTTTTATAAATTTATGCTTCGAATTATGTTTTCGAATTTGTGTTCGAAACCAACCAGCATTTTTTGAAAAGATTTTTTTAAAATTATATTTTCCTTTTTCTTATAATTCGCCTGTGCTTCCCCAGCCTAAAAAGCTCATAGCAAAACCGACGCATCACGGGAACAGCCTGGTTTGCGAGAAATAAAAACCTCTACAATGATCGTTAAATTAGATGAAATTGATCACTATCTTAACTCAACGCTTTTTTTTTTCAAGGATGCTATAAAATGTACAGCATTTAAATTACACCCGACTTAAATTATTTTGGAAGCAGAAGAAAGTCAAACAGGGAGTCATTAAAATAATGGAACGCCTTTTCCTTACAAGGGAACTTGACTAGACGACGTCAACAAATGTGTGCTTTACAATTAACGAGCTCTACATTTCATGTAATGTATAAATTGTATCTGTTAACTATTTTCTGTATGCTAATAACATTATTATTTTTAATATTTTTATATTTATTTATTTATTTATTTTTATCTTGTAACCTTCGCAAATACTGTATTTTGTGTACTTCAGAAAGGATTTTCGAATTTTCGATTAATTTATTGTTCAAAATTTTGTCAAATTTTCTAACTACTCATGTTTTGAGTTTCCTCTTGCTTGTGGATTTTTCCTTACGGCTGCCTCGCCGTAACTCTTCTCTTTGAAATTGTATCTGTTTTCATGGGCTTCGGACAAATTCTGGTACTTTTCATCATCACAATATGTTTGTTACCTTTTTTTTTTTAATTGATGTCTCGCCTTATGTTTGAACACTCAAACTCCTAAGTTCTATTTTCTGAGTAACTACCGTTTTTAATTTTAAGATTTCACTAAATTCTTTGAATCCTTCTGGTATTGCCATGGATCGCCACCAAGCCTACCTTTTTGAATCCTCTTTTTCTTTTGCTGAGATGTCACGTACGCGCATTTAGAGCCTACAGTATTCTCCGGATGAGCCCTGACGGGGGCGGGACGGGGTTAAATTTTGATAAAATGTACAACCAGTGGCTTTAACAAAGTATTAAACTTTGAATTTATAGACACAAATGCAAAGTTTAGTCTTGCCACATCTCTCTCTATTAGTGATGGTGTAACATTTTAATCCCAATTAAGACTTTTGTTTCAAATTTAGACAAACTGTGCCCGGCTACCGGAGAGAGGCGAGGGTGTGCACAGAGAGTTACCAACTTATTTGTAATTATTGTAAATTATTTTTTATTTTTTCCATTTTCTGGAACATATATTTTTCGATTAATGCTTATTTTCCTTTGCTATTTACACATATTCAAGGGCACCGGCAGAATAATATAAAAGGGGGTGCAACCCTCTAACAAACTAATCCCCCCCCCCAAAAAAAATTTAAAAATATACTGTTATTACATTTTGTTTTGTTATTACATATACTTTCGTCTGTTAATTTTTTTCGAGATACATTTCTCCATTGTTAACAAGATATTTAAAAAAAGTACGAGTTTTCGTGGTACGAAATGTGGAGGAATAGGGAAAATTCTAATGAATCCCTCGAATACATCGATTTAGTTCAGGCCACACAGTTTTATCTAGCTGCGGCGGAGGCAATCGAAATTGGCCTAACTCTTCCAGCTACTACGTGCACTATTGAACGCACTTTTAGTACCATGCGACGCATTAAAACTTGGAATCGGTCTACAATGTCTCACGAGATATTAAGTAGTTTGTGCATGCTCAGTGTGCATAAGAAACAATCAAAGATGACTCAGAATTCATTGAAAAAGTTATAAACAGATTTGAACAGCTAACAAGACGATTACAATTCTTGTTTGATTAAACAATTTTTTAATTGTTATGTATCAATAATTACCTAATTATTTGTTTTTGAATAAGAATATTTTTAGTAAATTTTTTTTTATACTCTTTAATTGTTTTAAAAGAAAGCCAGGGGGGTGCAAGTGCACCCCCTTGCACCCCGCTGCCGGCGCCCTTGCACATATTCCAGATTTCGTTTTTACGCGAAATCAATCTTTTCACCCAATTTAAACCTAGCTTTTCGCTATAATTCCTCCCCCCTTCCTACCCTTAATTATTATCAAATTAGATGAAGGAAAAAATAACCTTCTGGGTTATGTACTCTGATTTAAATGCATCAGTCAGTCAGTGATATTTCCCCGCACTGATTGGTTTGCTGAGCTTTCCAATCAGGGCGGGAACCGTACTGATTGGTTCTGTGCTTTCCCTGCACACATTGCTAACCTCATTGCTTTCAATTCATCGATTAAAATACTCCAGGAATGGATGAGGGCCGCTCTGCTGCCCCAGGTGTCCAAATTTAAATTTATACTAGGCCAACTAGTTCTTTCCTATACTTAACACCCAGAGAGAAAATATAGATGCAGACATTTATCCACCTGTTTATTTATTATTATTTTTTAATGAATTATAGTTTGTATTATGAATTCGGCAATTTATTTTCCAACATATTTTTTTTCCCGAAAGATTTTTAACCAAGCGGAAAATTAGCAGGGGCACAGATCTTTCCCCTTAAGCGTCTCTTCAGTTCGCCTTGACCTTGATCTTTCAGCAATTTAGAGTATACTAACAACAGAATATATCCCATTGGAGGCCCATTCAGTGAGCATTAACCCTTATGTAATAATTCTCTCCTGATATCGACTAATAAGAAAAAGTAACGTCTTCTTAACCCCTGGGGGTATATGGANTTTTTTTAAGCTGCATGTAAAATTTTAATGAATTATTCGTTTCACTAGTTAACTATTTATTCAATACCCTCTTTCTTTACTTTAAAAACTTCCGATTGTTTTCAGAAAAGTTTGAAAAGATGTGTTTTATTTAAATTGAAAAAGACAGTCTATCGAATTATTTTAATACAAAAGAAGAAAATAATCAATTTACTAAACATTGATATACCCGGATATAAAGTCATATATTTAATTTACTCCTATCTTTACTTTTTTCTCTTATTGATTATATAACTTTATTGAAATTAAATACCTATAAAATGAATATAGTTCGTATAATGTAAATTTGATGCATTTTGGCAGATTTTCACTTTTATAAATTTTTTCTGAATATCCCCCTTGAAATCTTACTCTCCTTTTTCCACAAACACACAAAGTTTAAATTCTAAAAATCTAATATATATATTTAAAATTTTAGATTTAGTCTTACTTTACAGTAGCATCAAATAAAAAAAAAGTAAAGGTGTGCAAGAATGCAAAATTTGGCAAAACCAAATGTGAAATAGTAATGTAACATCGCGATGTATCGAAACATCACGATGTTTGAGTGGCGATGCATCACGATGCTGAAATCTTAACATCGCCCAGTCCTACTTCGGACAAATTCTGGTACTTTTCATCATCACAATACGTTTGTTACCTTTTTTTTTTAATTGATGTCTCGCCTTATATTTATTTGAACACTCAAACTCCTAAATTCTTTTTTCCGAGTAACTACTATTGTTAATTTTAAGATTTCACTAAATTCTTTTAAACCTTCTGGTGATGCCATGGATCGCCACCAAGCCTACCTTTTTTAATCCTCTTTTTCTTTTGTTGAGAGGTCACGTACGCGCACTTAGAGCCTACAGTATTCTCCGGAAGCCCACGGACGTGGGCGGGACGGGGTTAAGTTTTGATAAAATGTACAACCAGTGACTTTAACAAAGTATTAAACTTTGAATTTATAGACACAAATGCAAAGTTTAGTCCTGCCTTGTCTCTCTCTATAAGTGATGGTGCACTGTCTAAACATTTTATTCCCAATTAAGACTTCTGTTTCAAATTTAGACCGTCCCGCAGTGGACTGATCGTTAAGACACGGTTCCCGGCAGATCACCGAAGTCAAGCATCACTGTCTGCGGTCATTGTGCGGGTGGGTGACCACTTGGATCAGTGTGCGTAAGGACCGAGGGTGTGCGGTATTGGTCCTCGTTAAACTGTTCTACCGTAAAGTGCTCGACTTTGCGTGCAGGTCGTCTGGCTACCGAAGCGGGGGTGCCATCCCCTCTGCAGAGGATCAAAATTGTCATGGCATGTATCCTCAGGGATGTTTCCCAGACCGTCGCCAATAGCCCATTGTGTAGCTCTAGTGCGACGTAAATGAACAACAACAACAAATCAAATTTAGACAAACTGTGCCTTCTGCACCTGCGAAGCCCGGCTACCGGGGGGAGGCGAGGGTGTGCACAGAGAGTTACCAACTTATTTATAAATATTGTAAATTATTTTTTATTTTTTCCATTCTCTTGAACATATGTTTTTCGATTAATACTCATTTTCCTTTGTTATTTACACATATTCCAGATTTCGTTTTTACACGAAATCAATCTTTTCACCCTATTCAGACCTATTCTTTTGCTATAATTTCTTCCCCCTTCCTACTCCTATTTATTATCAAATTAGATGAAGGAGAAAATAACCTTCTGGGTTATGTACTCCGATTTAAATGCATCAGTCAGTCAGTGATATTTCCCCGCACTGATTGGTTTGCTGAGCTTTCCAATCAGTGCGGGAACCGTACTGATTGGTTCTGTTCTTTCCCCGTACACATTGCTAACCTCATTGCTTTCAATTCATTGATTAAAATACTCCAGGAATGGATGAGATGAAGGCCGCTGTGCTGCCCCAGGTGTCCAAATTTAAATTTATACTAGGCCAACTAGTTCTTTCCTATACCAGAGAGAGAAAATATAGATACAGACATTTATCCACCTGTTTATTTATTATTATTTTCTTATAAATAATAGTTTGTATTATGAATTCGGCAATTTATTTTCTAACATATTTTTTTCCAAAAGATTTTTAACCAAGCGGAAAATTAGCAGGGGCACAGATCTTTCCCCTTAAGCGTCTTCTTCAGTTTGCCTTGACCTTGATCCTTCAGCAATTTAGAGTATACTAACAACAGAATATAACCCATTGGAGGCCCATTCAGTGAGCATTAACCCTTATGTAATAATTCTCTCCTGATATCGACTAATAAGAAAAAGTAACGTCTTCTTAACCCCTGGGGGTATATGGAACCCATGGGAAAACCAACGAAGCGTTCGACGTAATCGGAAATAGAATGAGGTAACAATAACACTCTTAACTTTCGTTTTAGTAATTACCTATTTTTTCCACGTGCATATGGACATAACCGGCAAGTCCATCGCTGACTGACCTTGGGATTATCCACAACATTGATGTTAAACATAGAAGACTTGGAGATAACAACCGGTTTACTCAAAGAATTTAAGTTGTAAGAAAAAATAATAATGTGCCCGCTTGCAGACGATAAAGAATACACACTAAATTCAACGCACTTATTTTCGTTTGCTGTAACAGACGATAAAAGAGACATGATCCAGTGAGCACCTAATGAAAAGTAAGTACCCGAAATTTCTTAGTATATTTCACCTTTTATTTACAACTATTTTGATAAGAAGTTGTCGCATCAATATAATTATTGGATATACGCTTCTATTGAATTGAAAATAATTTTTTTAAACTTGTATTTATTTTTTTCTATAAAGTATTTTAGTTCATTTTTTATAAATATTTTTCAGAAAGCTCGAACCTTTCTTACCGTTTACTTCTTTTTATACACAAGTTTTTGAAAAAACTTGATTCAAAAATACTTGATAAAATTCAAAATACGCTTTTTATGAAGAGTTTTTTTTAACATATTTTGTTCCAAAAAGTATTTAAATTTAAATTTTAGAAATATTTTTTTGAAATTTTAAATATTTTTTTTAACGTTTAATACAGCAGACGATAAAAGAGATTTAATCCAGTGAGCACCCAAATGAAAAACAACGCATTTTATAGCTGGAATTTCATGTTTCATACTCAGCTATTTTGATTAGAAGTTGTTTCCTTATTGTTTTCATACATGTTTGAATTCATAACAATCTTCGAATGAATCACAAACTTTTGAATGAATTGAAGAAGAAATGTCTTAAAAAAAAACTATTCAAATGAAACGAAAAAGAAATTTTATTTGAAATGCTTAATGAATTTAACTTAGAAATCTAACCACCGTTCTAAAATTAACTTGAGACTCGTCTACTTATTTATATATTTCTTTGGAAATTGCGGGTAAAATATTTATTAATATGGTTCATTGTTAACACATTAGGTTCCTATGTCATTGCTACCTGCTTGTAGCCTGTAGGTCGATGAGAGCAAATTAATAATTTAAAACGGTATTCAAAATTTAAAATTTTATTTTTCAAATTACTGATTTATCTCAGTAGGTGAAACATATTTTTGTTTAACTTCAATATTATCAAGATTTATAGATAATGGCATAAATGTCTTTATCCCCAGGAAAAACTTTCCAATTGACAATATTATTCTTGAATATAAATTGAAATTTTTTCTTTCCAAATCATAAAATCTGGTAATACCGTTTGCAATGCCCATACATCTTGTAGAAACAAGGCAAAAAAAAAATATTATATTTTTCAGAAGGTATTAACTTCATAATTGCCTGAAACTATATACTTACTTAATAAAGTTTATTAAAAACTGCCTTAAAAAAAAGCAATTTATTCATCTGAAGTAGAGAAAAATTTGAAGGAGCGAAAAATTTGAGAAGAGAAATTTGAGCAGCATTCGAACCATTCTTTCTTCAAAACATTCCAATATCGAGCCACTATAAGTTTAGTTATATATATATTGTATTTTATTTCAAAACCGTTTTCGAACAGCAGACCCAATTTTTGAGTTTATGACTACCAATGCTCAACCCCGTAGCCTTGTAATTTTGAAACCAATCCAGAAGACAAGGAAACTACTGGATCATGTATTATTTTATTTTATAACCGTCGTTGAACAGTCGACCCAATTTCATGGGTTTACGACTACTTACGTTCAACTCCGTAGCCTTGTAATTTTGAACCAATCCAGAAGACAAGGAAACTCCTGGATCAGTACCCCCAGAGGTCTTGATTTGTTGTGGGAACATGGAGGACTTTGAGACTCGACAGATTTAACGTGCATCAGTCACCATTTACTACACGGGGAGTCTTCGGCCGGCGAGGATCGAACCCACGACCTCTTGGATATGGGCCCAGCGCCCTACCGACCAGGCTATCCCGGCCGACTGGATCATGTATTAGTAGAAATTTGTCTTCGTGGTGGACTTTTTGATAGAACTTAATCGCATCTGCGCTGCGTGGGTAGGAAAACCTCCCACGATTAGCCTGACGTCAAGGAGACTCTAACCCATAATCCATCTATCACTGAGTATATCTTTTACGCCAGTCAGTGTGAGCCATGTGTGGAATTCGAATAGACCAACCATCACTGGGATTCGAACACTGATCATCTGATTCCGAAGCAAGTACTCTATCCCCTGAACCCTCATGGCTCTAATTTTATAGCTAATATAGATCATGAAATATATGCCTAGAGCCGTGATAAATAGATCCTAGAGCCGTGGTGGCTCAAGGGACACAGGATGTTGTGCTACTGAGTTTTAGAGAATTAAGTTTTAATTTTTATAAAAATACAGTATTATTCTAAATAAATATTTATCGTATAAACCTACTTAACACGTTCACGCCGGGAAAAGAGAAAATACTGGTAGGAGAACTATTTCAATATTAGATCATATTCGGGNCACAATAATTAAGTAAATTTTGAATAAATTTTCTGCAATTCCATAAAAGAGTGTAAATTTTATAGTTCTTTATCATGTTATACGCTGTCAGCCAGCTGTTTTTCGCGGCCTATGTGAAAGGTCAGTGTCAGCCACCGGTGGTTGACGCGGCCTAAATGTAATTTTAGTGTTAGCCACCGATGGTTGACGCGGCCTAAATGTAATTTTAGTGTTAGCCACCGGTGGTTGACGCAGCCTGAATGGAAAGTCCAGTGTCAGCCACTGATGGCTGACGCGGTGCTCAACGTGTTAATACAGCAGAAGATAAAAGAGACTTGATCCAGTGAACACCCAATGAAAATCAACGTATTTTATAGCTGGAATTTCACTCACAGCCATTTTGATTAGAAATTGTTCCCTTATTGCTTTCATACATGTTTGAATTTATAACAATCTTCGAATGAATCAAAGACTTTTGAATGAATTGAAGAGGAAATATCTTGAAAAATTATTCAAATAAATCGAAAAAGAATTTTTTTTTAAATGCTTAATGAATTTGTAATGAATTGCTTATGAAAAATTTGAGTAGAGAAATTTGAGCTGCATTCGAACCATCTTTCTTCGAAACATTCCAATATCGAGCAACTATAAGTTTAGTTAATTTTATAGTGTATTTTATTTTAAAACCGGTTTTGAACAGCCGAGTTTCTGAGTTTATGACTACCAATGCTCGACCCCGTAGACTTGTAATTTTGAACCCAATCCAGAAGACAAGGGAACTACTGGATCGTGTATTGGTAGAAATTTGTCTTCGTGGTAGACTTTTTGATAGAACTTAATCGCATCTGCATTGCGTGGGCAGGAAAACCTCCCACGATTAGCCTGACGTCAAGGAGACTCTTACCCATAATCCATCTATCACTGAGTATATCTTTTACGCCAGTCAGTGTGAGCCATGTGTGGAATTCGTATAGACCAACCATCACTGGGATTCGAACACTGGTAATCTGATTCAGAAGCAAGTACTCTATCCCCTGAACCCTCATGGCTCTAATTTTGATAGCTAATAAAGATCATAAAATATATCCTTTAGATAATTTTTTTTTCAAAAGATCCTTGAGAGGTGATGGCTCAGGGGACAGAGGATGTTGCGCCACTGAGTTTTAGAGAATTAAGTTTTAATTTTTATAAAAATACAGTGTCATTCTAAATAAATATTTATCGTATAAAGCTACTTAAACTATCACTTAAGACTATCTAACAAAGTGAATTATTACTAAAATGTAGCTACCAATTTAGATTGAGAAATACCCGCGTTTTTGGAGCCGTATAAGATAAATAAATATGCCAATAGTTCAGATAATTTTGACTGTTTACATAATTTTGACTATATATAGTTTTGACTGTTTATATAGTATGCTGTGTACATAATATAGCGCGACAAATGACAACGGTGACACTTAGTGACAAAAAGGAGAAAGGGTAAAAAATATTTTGAAAAAAAGTGCTGAATGAATGTACAGCCTCTACGACCGGTTGTATGGTAGTCAGAGAGCTGACCTCATGTCAGGTCCCGGGTTCGAATCCCTGACAAGGCATGGATGTCCTTCTCTTCTGTGTACTATCTGTTCTTCTTATGATGGGTAAAACGTTGGTCCACCTAATATGTTGCCCCTTAAAGAGTGGTCAACATATCTGCCCTTCTGACATCTGAATGACGAATGCCAATTTCGATGTCAATATCATTATAAAAAAATATACAGCCCCTAATGCATTTATTTATTCATTTTGGTTTATTTATTTATTTTCGTAATTTCTCAAGAGAATTTTTATAGCACTATAACACTATCAATAATTGCTATATAATGCTTTCATATAGTTTGAGAAAACTAAATTATTTCAATTTTAATAATCGCAAGATAGTGTATGTAACCCGATTACAGTGTCAAAACTTAGAGCAGATAATGTTTTCAACTAATCCGAATTCAAAAGTAATTTTCACCCTATTTTTAATCTTGGGCCCCGGGTCACTGCTCGGGGCCTAAAACATCAAACACGACACTGGTAACCTGCTTAGATTATGCTGGAGGAAAAGAAAAAAAAATAATAACTACGAAACAGTTTTCTGGGACTTTCAGCGGAAACTCTCTCATCGACAGGATGTTTCTTCTTTGACGTATTAAGAGGTAACTGGGTGCAAGTTTTGTTTTTCTTAAAAAGAATAATAACTGTTTGAAGGACATTCATAGATAAATGAGCTCATTTGAATAATATCGTGACATTTTTAGCATACACGAAAATATCTCTCCAAAAATTTGAATCAATATCGTGCTCTTTAAACAATGCACTGTTCAATATTAATTTATTTCAATGTTGAATCCGGATAGTGTATTTGATTGATAACACAGTGGACATTTGGAATAAATAGATCAAATTCTTAAGTAAATATTTTATATTATTAATAAATTACGAATATATTAAGAACATGTAATATATAACATCGAAAATATATAAAGTAAGTATAATATTGATAATGTAATATTCTTATAATATTAATTTAAGAGATAGATAGTTACTAATATAGATGCAATATATAATATTAATTAAAAAAATTTCAATTATCTATATAATATTGATAATGCATATTGTTATTAATGAAGTACAAATTATTTATATAATATTGATAATGGATAATTAATATTTACAATATTAATTAAAAAGATAAATGTTTGCGTATATATATTATGAAGAATACAATATAAATTAAATATATGTAATACTGATAATGTTATATTTTACAATATTAACTTAAGAGATAGATAATTACAGACATAGACATAATAAACAGCATTAAGAATAATAATAGATTATAATTGATAATATCATATCTTATGATATAAATTAAAGAGATAGATATAGACTTAGATATAATATATAATATTAAAAATAAAATATCTATATAATATTAATAATGCAATAATATTATAATATTAATTCGAAAGATAGATATTTGGAGACATAGATATAAAATACATCATTCATTATATATTATATATATAATATTGATAATATAATATTTTAATATTATTAATGAGACAGATAATTACAGTAACAGATATAATATATAACATTAAGAATATAATATATATTTATATATACATAATATTAGTAATGTGATATTCTTATGATATAAATTAAAGAGATAGATAGATACAGATATGGGTATACTAATATATAAATATGAAATAATACTAATTATATAAATATGATATTGATAATGTAATATTTATAACATATGATATGTATAATTAAATATTCATATAATATTAGTATCAGCAATTTTGTTTAATATATAAAAACTGCGGTTTTATGTATGGTACAATATTTAATGAAAACTGTCAAATGTTGAATAATTTAAAAAATTCTTAAATACGTTGACTGTAGATCTTGAAACATAATTATTGATCTTAAATAGATTATTGACAATGAAATCATTATTTTATTGTTATAGATAAATGAATCGAAATTGAAAATCAACCATTTTTAACAAACATAATAACAATTATGCAATTTAATTCATCTGTAGTAGTTTTTAGTACTATAAAAATATAAAAATTTTGAAATTTTTTTAAACAGGATTCTAATATAAATGCATATAATTAATTTCTGCATAGTATATTAATAATTCAGAATAATTTTTTTTAAAAAAATATATTATATATAATAACGAAAACTATTTTAAATGTTTTACTATATTTTGTAACAAAAAATTTCAATATTAAAAAGTATGCATTGAAATATTTATTATAATTTTAAATTTAAAAAAATATAGCATTCGTTGAGAAAATTAGATCAGACTTGCTAACTAACCAAATAACTATATTTAATTTTCAATATTTTTTATATTAATTAGATATTAGATTATATAGATTAGATTAGATTAGATTATATTATTAGATTAGATTATATTAATTAGATTAATAATAAAAACAATTTTCAGCGTTACATCATACTAATTAGTACAGATAAATTATGATTTTTACATCATACTAATTAGTACAGATAAATTATGATTTTTATATCATACTAATTAATAACACTTTTCTATTTTCTCTCTCTACATTATAAAATAGGTTTAACTACGACAATAGCTACAGTTCTCAGTGTCACATAATTTGTAAAAAATCTAATCAACAATATATAAAATGCTAATAAAATCCAGTACTTAACTTTTTATCTAAGGAAATTAAAAATGTACAATTTATATCATTATAACTTATCTTATTAATATGCGTAATACTCGAGTACTTGACTTTTTATTTAATCAAATTAAAATGTCAAAATTTCGTTTTTTACTTATGAGTACACGTTGTAATTAAACTATTGATGGTGTTTTTACTAATTTTAAATTAAAAAGTACTATTCACATTATTCAAAAGAAATATGTTAAAGTTGTTCAAAAATAATTTTGCAAAGATTAATATGTTGTCGAAAAATAATTTACCACTTAAAAACCTATTTCTGTAATCTTAGTTTGTTAAAAAAATAATATTTGCAGGTGAGAAAAATAATCTCAAAGTTTTATGCTAACAATTAAATAAACGTTATTTTTTAAAAATTATTTTCACTTTTCTGATTTAAACTTTTAGACCAAAAAGTGGTCAATGAAAAATATGCCTGAGTTACAATTTTCTTTATCAATAGTTTTTAGTTATGACCAGTTATGTAAATAAATTTGTACGCATAAATTTAAAATCGGTCTTAGATTAAGTATAGTAAATGTGTAAATTTGAAAAACAATTTAAGTATTGAATTCATACTAAAGGGATAGTTTTATAAATAAGTTTATATGCAGTATAATAAATTATTTTATTTTATATTTAAATTTTCAAATCGAATATTAATTAATATTTTTAATCGAATATTAAATCGGAATATTAAATTTTTAAATCAAATATTTAAAAATAAATAAATTACTCTTGACAAAATGCTCTATAAACATGTAATTTAAACAATTTCCACTCTGAAAAATCATTTGAACCATGATGTTAGTGCAATGAACCATAACACGGTGCAAATTTGTTACAACCTTAAAAAGGTATTAAGTTTAATCATATTTTAATTCAAGTTAAACCATAGTATCATATAATCGAGTTTAAGGAGTACAATAATACGGTTTCTTAGCACCATATTAAGGTAGCAAAAAAATTCTGGGTATTAAATTTTCAAGTTGCTGCAACATTGAACCATAATACGGTGCTAATTTTCTATAACCTTATTGAGTTATAAGTTTGAACCATGTTTCCATTCAAGTTGAACCTTAGTATCGTTTAATCAACTTTGAGAAATGTGGACAGATGGTTCCACTCAATTTCAGCAAATTCAATTGCACTGTTAAATTGCAGCAAATTTCCACAATGTTATGATTTAACCCGCTTCAAAAATTTTAGGTATATATTTCAGCCTAAAATTTTCAAACAGTTCTTTAATGGTGTGGATTTAAAAAATGGAATTTAAATAGATAACTTAGCAAAAATCAATGTAATATTTATTACTCATTAAACTAAATTAATTGCTGAATTTTTTTTTCAAAACAAAAGTAATCTTTATAGGGAAAAAAATGACATTTCTCCATAATGCATGGTGCAATGCGACACATTAAAACTCACAACGGAACAGGAAGTTTCTCACATTTTAAATTCCGAAAAATATACTTTTTTCCGCTGGGAGTAGTACGAAATACGCATTGCGAGACGTTCATTACGACCCAAATAATATTTTATTTTTTTAATTTTTATTGATAGTTTGTGCAGCAGAATTCAAGGTGCGATTGCAAAAAAATCAAATAAAATTGCAATTGGTTACGACTACGTATTGATNTATGTTGAAGCCGGTATGTTGCTACGCCCGTTGGCTTCTTGGCGTCATTGTTATCAGCCAAGAGCCAGTTGATGTGAAACAACAAAAGCGCATACACGCTCCGCAGCGCTACCAGCGCACCCGCAAAATAAATAGTTTACAGTCCACGTTTGATTTTTTATACACCCGCAAGCTATCGGCCAAACTAATTAATATAGATAAATTATGATTTTGACATCATAATAATTAATACAGATAAAATATGATTTCTACATCATACTGATTAATACAGATAAATTATGATTTTTACATCATACTAATTAATAACACTTTTCTATTTTCTCTCTCTACATTATAAAATAGGTTTGACTATGAGAATAGCTACAGTTCTCATTACATAATTTATAAAATATCTAATCAACTAAATATAAAATGCTAATAAAATCCAGTACTTAACTTTTTATCAAAGGAAATTAAAAATGTACAATTTATATCATTATAACTTATCTTATTAATAACGTATATCTAATGAATAATACTTGAGTACTTGACATTTTATTTAATGAAATTAAAATGCCAAAATTTCGTTTTTTACGTATGAGTACACGTTGTAATTAAACTATTGATTGTGTTTTTACAAATGTTAAATTAAAAAGTAATATAATATTCACATTATTCAAAAGAAATATGTAAAAGTTGTTAAACAATAATTCTGCAAAGATTAATATGTTGTCGAAAAATAATTTACCACTTAAAAACCTATTTTTGTAATCTTAGTTTGTTAAAAAAATAATATTTGCAGGTGAGAAAAATAATTTCCAAGTTTTATACTAACAATTAAATAAACGTTTTTTTTAAAAATTATTTTCACTTTTCTGATTTAAACTTTTAGACCAAAAAGTGGCCAATGAAAAATATACTTGAGTTACAAATTTCTTTATCAATAGTTTTTTAGTTATGACCAGTTATGTAAATTAATTTGCACGCATAAATTTAAAATTTGAAATCTGTTTTAGAGACTCAGTATAGTAAATTTGTAAGTTTAAAAAGCAATTTATGTATTGAATTAAAGGAATAGTTTTATAAATAAATTTATATGAAATGGCAAAAAAAAAGAACTATTTTATCATTAAGTTTTTAAATCGAATATTTTAAAAAAATAAATTACTGTTGACAAAATGCTCTAAAAACATGTAATTTAAACAGTTTCCACTCTGAAAAATCACTTGAACCATAATATCAGAACAATGAACCATAATATGGTGCAAATTTGTTACAATTTGCTACATCCTTAATAAGGTGTTAAGTTTAATCATATTTTCATTCAAGTTAAATCATAGTATTACATAGTAGAGTTTAAGAAATATAATAATACGGTTTCTTAGCTTTAGATTAAGGTTGCAACAAATTTCCACGGTATTATTTTTTCAAGTTGCTGCAACATTGAACCATAATACGGTGCAAATTTTCTATAACCTTATTAAGGTATTAGTTTGAACCATGTTTCCATTCAAGTTGAACCTTAGTATCGTTTAATCAATTTTGAGAAATGTGGACAGATGATTACACTCAACAGCATGTTAAATTGCTGCAAATTTCCACAATGTTTTGATTTAACACGCTTCAAAACTTTTTAGTTTATATTTCAGCATTAAATTTTCAATCAGTTCTTTAATGGTGTGGATTTAAAAAATAGACTACCATGGAATTTAAACAAATAACTTAGCAAAAATCAATGTAAAATTTATTACTCATTAAACTAAACTAAACTAATTGCTGAAACTTTTTTATAAAAGAAAAGTAAAGTTTATACGGAAAAATTGACATTTCTCCATAATGAATGGTGCAATGCGACACATTAAAACTCACAACGGAACAGGAAGTTTCTCACATTTTAAATTCCGAAAAATATACTTTTTTCCGCTGGGAGTAGTACGAAATACGCAGGAGCACNCCAAATAATATTTTTTTTTTTTAATATTCATTGATAGTTTATGGAGCAGAATTCAAGGTGCAATTGAAAAAATATCAAATAAAATTGTAATTGGTCATGACTACGTATTGTGTTGCTATCACGAGATGGGCTCTTAGTTAAGTTGCTTTTAGTGAGATTGAGAGCTCACCTCGGGATTGCTAGACTGTAGCGATTGATAACTTTTAAATGTGATTACAAACAACCAATATTTTCCGAATATTAGTCGGTTGTAATCATAATTGGACCATTTAGTTTGTAATCATTACTACAAATAATCACGAATTCAAGGAAATGTGATTACGAGGAATCATATGATCAAGATTGCAATTATAGTTGCATTGATTGCTTAGCTTTTCCGACGCGATAAGATTTTTGTCGGAAGGTTATATTTCATGTTATATGGACAAAGATGCAAATAAAAGGTAACTACTTACTATCTCATTGATAAATAAAAAATTAAATTGTAATCATGATTAATAACGTCTTTGCTTGAAGATGACTTCGTACTTGCAATCATAAATTATATAATTCTTTGTAATCATGTAACTTTTTAATCGCGCATCATGATCACCTTAAATACTATCACTTTTAATCAGTACTACAATTGTAATGAAAATTATGAATATTTATAATCACAATTACAAATAAGTAATTGTTGGTAATCCTTACGCATCATAGTAATCCTATTTTTGTCGAATGCTGGTTTGTATAGTTTGTCTAAAAGAAGAACTTCTCCAGACAACCACCTGGACCTGTGGCGGTGACTATGGTAACGAGGTATGACTATTTCAAGTAGGGGTGAGGGGTCACTCTTTTGGATTAGCTTCGGCTCGGGTCGATGAGAGATAGGGAATCTTTTTCTTCGGTCTATTGTGTTAGTCCTAGAGTGAAGTCACCCTCCCTAAAATGAGCCATTCTTGTTTCCATAGCACCAGACAGACTCAGACTTTGTGACGGGAAGAGTTCTTAGCTTAGACAAATTATAAGTTAACCGTAGTAGAAGTTGTAGTAGTATTACTTACGTAATAAATAAATAAATAATTACCGAGTATCATTGTAATCTTTTAACAGTGTTTTTTTATTAATAGACTTAATTTTCGAGCTTATATTTGTTAAATAGGCTTTGTTTTCAAGCCGATCTTTGTGAATAGGCTTTTTTTTTCGAACTGAACTATGCTTGGTAGTTTGCTAATAAATTTTAAAACTTTCAGATTTCCCTTTAAGAAATAATTTTTCCTATTTTCATTTATTCTTCGACATTTTCCGTTCTCTTTCCGTAGGTTTCTTGAGGTAAATATATATATATATATTTTTTTAAATAATAAAGTGATAAAAATATCAGAAAAAATCATTACAGTTTAAAAAAGAATAAAAAAATAACTCACATAAGAAGTTTCTAGGTTATGTCTTTCATAGCTGATTATTGTGCTCACAATTGAATCGCCTAGAAAAAAAGTAAAATAGATTTTCTATCATATGTGTTTCGACCCTAATATTCTTGTCAACTCTAATTAACGCCAGCAGATGTTTATTTTACCTTTACCCTTTCTCAATAAAATTGATGAAAGACAACAAGTCTGTTTGCTGGTGTAGTTAGAGCCCTTCCAATATGTTTAGCTCTTAAAAATACTAATAGATTTCTAATTGCAATAGTAAAATTTTGTATAACTTCACACGATTTTTAACCCTGTTTGAAAATAAGTCTTTTTTTTTGGTTTTTTACAAATTATAATAATAAATTTAAATTTTATAATTTTTTAAGATTATCGCCGCTGTCATTATATACATTTTCTATTTGAGATAAAAAGTTACTGGATTCAGTTATACTTTCCAACAAATACGGAATTTCCGCAAGTTTAAAAAATTCTTTTAACTAATGGTAGAAGAATTAAAAAAAAAGTAATTTAAAACTAAGAAGGTGATTTATAAGTATTTATTGGAATTTTGTTCACCATTGCGTATTAATAATTTAATGATACATAAAATATAAAAATTGGCAATCTATCATTTTAGTAAGTTCTAGTAGTTTTATAAAAATTTTGTTTTAAAGATTTCTGCTCCAGTGCCCTACCACTAGAAATATAATTAGCATAATCCTCAAAACTTGGAGGGTAAGTTCAGTTGAACATTAAACATCATTTAAAAAATGTGTTTTTAAGACAAATGTGTTCATGGGTGAAAGCCCTTATATAGCAAGACGGAAAAGAGAAAAACCTGGTACGTAAAACATTTCATTCCAGCATTTTTTTCGAAAAAAATGAAATATCTGCAGACGTGCCAACTTTTAATCCCTTCCATTATCATTTTTCCCAGTGGTATAAAAATGGAATTATAACTCAATTTTAAGCAAACAAATACGTTGTATTTGAAAAAAATTAGGTTGACAACCATGATAGTGACGCATATTAATATATAAGCTTAATTTTTGTAAGAATAGTGGTGATCAAAATCATTTAAAAATTAAATTTATAAAAGAAAAAATAGTATATATTTACTACCACTTTAAATATGAAAATAAAATCTCCGGCAAAATGAGTTGGCAGGTATGTATCTGTAACTATCAAGATTTCTTTTATAATTCTGGCATATATACTGCTTCTTTTCCAAAATAAAGTAGATATTGTTGAAAAATTTTAAAAAAGAATAAGTAAACTCCTCCCCAAAACTAGCTATAACTGAAATGGTTTTACTACCAGCCTTTCCTCTTTTCCGTCTCGCTTTCACCCCTGTATGTGTTGTGAAGGACATGTTGTAGTGCTTAACATAAATGTTAGATTAGTTTGTGAATAATTAGAATTAAATGATTGAGTAAAGAATTAAATTATAATTAATTTAAAATTCAACTAAATATAAAACAATTGCACGATTGTATTTTTTTAGGAACGAAATTAATTGTAAATTAATTTTATTTTCAGTTAAATTATTATTTCAATTTAATAAATAAATTATTTCAATTAATTATTATAATTAAAAACTTTTTTTTTCACAAATTAATTTTTTTCTTATTAAAGGGTTTCTTTTTCTTTAAAAAATTGCATCATAATTTAGTACTCTTTTTAATTTTAGTATTTTTAGGACTTTTCCACTTCAGCGACATTGTAAACAACAAGCTTTAATAAAGATGATATTCCAGATTTCCTTGAGCAAGCTGTCGTGAGAAATTCTCATACAAATAAAAACATCTCATCAACATGGCCATTTGCGTACTGCTTCTAAGTTTTTTTGTGATGTTGTGGAAAACTGAAATCATTTCAGCCGGAGACACAGTTTTTAGAGATTATTTCGTTGAGAACAACAGCTCCACACCCCCCATGACTGACGAAGACTATACGAACGGAAAACACGAATCTTTGTTGAATTGTGATCTCTTTGAACTGGAACCAGATGAGTTCGTGATATTTTCGAATGGTTCAGCATTTGTGCCAGCTTACAATCAAACTTACGACGAACCATTTTACTTCTTAATAAACGATTCTCTGATAATTTGCGCACCCAAGTACCCAGAGGACGATATGCTCGCAAATGTGCCTTTATCGTATCTATCATTAGTTGGAGTTGTCGTGTCAATGGTGTGTTGTTTGGCGCACCTTATTGTCTTCTCATTTGTGTCAGACTTACAGAATCTGCCCGGATACAACTTGGCCTCTTTGTGTGCGTCCTTATTTATGAGTTATCTATTTATGATTATTGCTCAGACTCAGCAAGAGGCAGAAAATACTATCATGTGCACGACTTCTGGAGTTTTAACCCATTTCTTCTTCTTGGCGTCGTTTCTATGGATGTTTGTGATGGCCTTTGATGTTTTTCGTTCCATTCTTCTGGCTACCGGTAGTATGAGAGCTTCTAATAAAGAATTCAAAGTGAAGAAGTTTGTCTGGTACAGCCTTTTTTCCTGGCTCACGGCATTGGCGTTCGCAGTAGCTGCTGTCGTAGCTGATAACGTGGAAGGGATACCACAGCAATTTCGTCCGATGTTCTACAAATCGTGTTGGTTTGATCAGAAAAAATCTCTTCTGACATTCTTTGCTATACCTATGTGTATCATCACATGCTTGAACTTTGTTATGTTTGGAATCAGTGCTTTCTTGATTTTCACCAATCGCATGAAATCAAGCCATGAAAGCCAACGATCCCATTTGAAGAAGAACCATCTTCTTTACTTCAGGCTTACAGTAATCATGGGAGTAACTTGGATTACTGGAGTGCTGGCTCCTCTCATTCATGTTCTGTGGCTCTGGTACGTGTTTGCTGCTTTGAATACTTTTCAAGGTCTTTTCATATTTCTTGCCTTCACGTGTTCACCGAAAGTGAAGAAGTTCATTAAGGACAAATTATTTGGTGCTCGTAGACCGTCACAACAGACGTCCCCAACGTTTCAGTCATATTGCTACTATGCGAACTCAATTGAGAAAGATCTAGACAAAGTCATAGACTCTAAAGATAAATCTGAACCCATAGATACTATTGTGATACATTTGTAAGTGTTTAGTACACTTGGTCATGGATCATTGTACACAAGTGTACTTTGCAATGTAGTGCTTTGAAAGATCTTGACAAAATCAGAGACTATAAATAAATCTGAACTGACAGATACTATTGTGATACATCTGTAAGTGTTTGCTTCTCTTGGTCACAAATCATTGTGCACAAGTTTGTGTGTGCTATGTAATTTATGTAACAGTTACGAAAGTTAGTGATCTAATATGATCCAATACCACCTTTTCGATGAAGACTCACTGAAATTTCCTAACAGTTATCTTAAACTTCTCAGTCTATTGTTAACTCAATTGAGACAGATCCAGATAGAGTTAAAGTGGCTAAAAATTAATCTGAACCAATAAATACTATTGTAATACATGAATAAGTATTTACCACACTTGGTCTCGGATCATTGTACTCAAGTGTATTTGTACAATGTAGTGCTTTGAAAGATCTTGACAAAATCAGAGACTATAAATAAATCTGAACTGACAGATACTATTGTGATACATCTGTAAGTGTTTGCTTCTCTTGGTCACAAATCATTGTGCACAAGTTTGTGTGTGCTATGTAATTTATGTAACAGTTACGAAAGTTAGTGATCTAATATGATCCAATACCACCTTTTCGATGAAGACTCACTGAAATTTCCTAACAGTTATCTTAAACTTCTCAGTCTATTGTTAACTCAATTGAGACAGATCCAGATAGAGTTAAAGTGGCTAAAAATTAATCTGAACCAATAAATACTATTGTAATACATGAATAAGTATTTACCACACTTGGTCTCGGATCATTGTACTCAAGTGTATTTGTACAATGTAGTGTTTTGAAAGATCTTGACACAATCAGAGACTAAAGATAAATCTGAACTGACAGATACTATTGTGATACATCTATAAGTGTTTGCTTCTCTTGGCCACAAATCATTGTGCACAAGCGCATTTCTGCAATGCAATTTAAACAATTACAGTGGCTGAAGTTTAATGTAAACAAATAAAAGCAATTGTGATACATCTGCACATTCTCACAACTCTTGTTCACTGAAGACAGTAACACAAGTGTATTTGTGCAAGGACATTTAAATAATTTTCACATTTGTGAAAATTATTCAGAGATCTAAACTGATCCAAAACATCTGACAAAACTGATCCAAAACATCTATCCAAAATCGAGATCTAAACTGATCCAAGTCAGAGATCTAAACTGATCCAAAACCATTATTTCGATGAAGGACTCACTTAAATTTCATAAGTTGTCTCCAACATCTCAGTCATATTGTTAACTCAGTTGAGACTGATCTAGACAAAATTCATAGTGGCTAAAGATAAATTTGAACCAATAAATACTTCGTGACACATCTGCAAGTGTTTACTACACTTGCTCATAAATGAATGTGCACAAGTGCATTTGAGCAATGCATTTTAAATAATTATCACGATAGTTAGCGATGCCATAATTATCACGAAAGTCAGCGATCTAAGCTGATCCAAAACCATCTCTTTTAAGCAGACTCTTATAAGACTGCAATTACTGTTTGTTGGAGAACAGAGCTGAGATAGTAGAATAATAACATGAACTTTTCTAAAGTCTCTTGTTTTTGCATGTTTTTTGAGTAAAAAATTACTTAATACATGTTTTTCACCACATTAGACGTCTTCTTTATTTCAGTCATACTGCTACTGTATTTATGAACTCTAGACGAAATCATAGACTTTCATTTTTGTTCTGCATAAATAAGTTTCACTTCATCAGCTCATATCATTCTGTATAAAAATACATTTTTGAATTTTAAACGTTCATATAATCGTTGTTATCATTACTATAACTCAGTTATGAATGATTTGTGTGATAAAATTTCTTCTTGTTTTTGTTTGAAATAACTAATCAAATAACCATTTCTCAAATACAAATAGATTTCTAATTTTATATTTAGGCTAGACTTTAAACATAGCCTTGATAAGATTCAAGTATCGTAAACCCACTTTCTTCCATCTTAGTTTTAGGTTCAACTTAAATTCATTTTTTTTATTTTCTTGATAATTTCGTTTAGACTTTAAAAGTGTCCTAAATAAAATTCAAATATTAAAGCGTTCTTCCTTTGCCATCTTGGTTTTAGCTAAAATTTTTGGTTATTCAGGTGAAGATTTCAATACGTTCTATAAAAGGAAATACTCATTCAAAATAAACAAATGAATAACTTGTAATTTTTTTGCTTTTCTTTTTTTAAATAGAAATTTTGATTTTTGCTTTGTCTCATTATTAGTTCTATTTCTCGTAACACATTTATTTCTCTCTCTGATTTATTTTTTTGAAATATTTTAATAATGGTTATGGGTTTTTCTTATCTATCTGTATTGATGATTTTCCACAATGGGACGAATGTTATGATCTTGAATACTCATATTCACGTTTGTATTAATGTTCCATTTTTATTTAAGATTATACACTGATCTCACTCAATGTATTTCAAAATAAACAATCTTTTTTTCCATCAAAGACAAATGACTCTTTTTATTTCTATTTGTTGCACATAAAAATTAATTACAATTACAATGCAATTTATGTATAATATTCTTACAGATATTGCCGGAAAGCAAGATATTCAGTAATTCACAAATTTTAATCCATCTAATTCTTTATTTTTTCTTAAGGCAAATTTGAAAAGTTAAATATGGGTCTAAATTGGTGAAACGGATCTCTAATTTATATCAAGTTAAATAAAAGTTTTTAAAAAAAAAAGCATAAACTTGTAGTTTAAAAAGTTTTTTAAATAATATTTTTATTAAAATATTTGACGATAAAACATGAAATCTGAAATTTGATGAATTTTGAATAAATTTTAATGACAAGAAATTTTATAGGTTACTTTCCTCTGTAACAAGGTACAAAATGTTTGAAATGAAACTGAAGATACTTAAAGACTCCTAGCTCCAGTTTCTTGTGAAGTTTCAAATGTATAGTTTTTGGATCAAGAGACGCAGGGGTGGATCCAGAAATTTTCCTGGGGGGGGGTCATAGAATCAGATCCCCCCACAATTTTTTTCAAATACTTTTTTTAAAAGAAAAAAAACTGGGGTTTTTAATGCTAGTCTTCTCATTTATTTTTTTCATAATGAACAATAAAACAATACATAAATAATTCAAGTACTATTCAAAATCTTTAAATAATAACTGAATGCATTTTTTAGAAACTTTGGCAAATCTGTCAATGATTTTTTCAACATCCAAATCAATTTCTCGATGAATGTTTAATAATGCAAGTCCATTTAATCGTTCTTTCCTTTTTAGAGTTACAATGAAACTATGATGAATTTCGTTTCAATTTTTGGGTTTATGATTCTTGAAACAGTGAAGAAAATGATTAGATGAAAAAAATAATCGATTTTTCCGACCTACCTGGGTGTATATGCCCCCTTAAATAATTTTTAAAATATTTTATTTCTTTTGTAAATTATTTTTAAAAAAATTTTTTTTCCTATTTTTTTGCGGGGGTTATGACCCCTATAACCCCCCCCCCCCNAAATGTTTCAGTAAATTATTAAAAAAAAAAAAAAAATATTCCTATTTTTTTTGGGGGGGTATGACCCCTATAACCTCCTCCCTGCTGGATCCGCCACTGAGGAGACGAAGATTTTTCTGTAAGAAAATTAGTTCAGTTCTGTCAATAAATGGCGCTGTTCTGCAAAATCCATTTGTGAATTATGCATACATTCAACAATATGCATATGACCGTCAACATGTGTAACTAATGGAATGTGCAGTTCCTACTAGAATTTTGAGCTATTTCTTTTTAACTGCGTTGTAGTGCTATCTGATGGCAAAATTACGAACTTTTTATCGACAGAAACTTCGATCCCATGTTCTAAATAGTATATACTCGAGGTTTCGTGTGGATCCTTACTGTAGAACTGGAGTTAAGCAGAGCCTTTGAGAATCGTCACTTTAATTTGTCTACTTTTAGTGTTTCCTTTCAGACGATAAATATCTAATAAATGAAGGAAATAATTGCTGCAGTTTCATATAAGTTTCAATTTTTTTAAAATTTAATTTATATTGTGGTGCTATTAATTATTTACTCAGGATAAATCCTAATTATGAAAACCTAATTATAAACCTAATTACCACCATTTACCATTTGAGAAAAAAAATGAAATGTCCTCAAAATTACAGGTTTAGGATTATAAATGGAATTGTCATTATTTTGCCTCAAGTATTCAGGAATACATAGATTCAAAAACGAATGCATAGCTACTAATTTACATGGTCCGATCATTAGGAAGTTTTTTTTCCCTTTATCGTAGAAAAAATAAGAAATTAAAATAGAAAGAATTTTTTAAAAATTAAGCTACTTTCAACCACTTAAAAGCATGACAACAGATTCAGAAGATTTTATATACAAATGCCTGAATCGTTCAATTTTTGAAACAGTTTTCATTATAAAAAAGAAGATTAATGCATTAATACAGACTTTCGTAACCTTAACACTACTGCAGGTTAATAATATACCAACTAAATTTGTCGCAGGTGAAGAAAAAATTTAGAAAATAAAACAATAGTAAATTAAAGCAAGTTAGTTATGTTTTTCATTAAAAAATTCCCATTAAGAAAGCAAAAGCAATAGAACTGTAGAAATAAAAGATTAGAAAGTTAAGCTAAAGAACAGAATAACAGCACAATATTCGTAATAAAAGATACTATATTAATCAAATGATTTTTTTTTGTAATTATAAATTCTGGTTGCCGCGGGCGATTAATTTATTTATATATATATATATACAGGTATAGGACAAAATAATAGGAACACCTGT